GAGGCAGAGGACATGCCAGTGAGCAACCTTGCTCAGTGGGAAAGATGGGGTAGGACTCAGCATTCACACATCAAAAAGCGGGTGTAGAAACACAACAGGCCCAGTTTTGACTCTTGATCCTCATCTCTATCTTTTGGATTCCAGTGCTATAGGACATGGAAAAAATTCCCCATGTAACACACAGTGTGGAGGAAGTTTTTGGACTCATTTCTTGTTTGATCTTTCTTTTTTTCTTTTTCTTTGTTTTGGCTACCACTTTTACCTGATTCTATTTAATTAAAATGTCTTTAATTGAACATTTTATCTCACTTTTTTCTCTCTTCATCTTCCTTTATGTTGTTCCTCAAAATTTGCTTGTTTCCATTGTTCTCTTTCCCTACTCCTTGATTTTTGATATTATTACCACTGACTTTCATAAATAATATTTACTTTATACTATGCTATTATTACTCATTTGTTTGTATTGTACACAGTGGTGATATGTATTTTTATTTTAGTGGATCTTTATTGTTTGTCAACATCTAATCTGCCTTTGTGTTTCTATTATTACTACAATCACTTTTGTATTATTTTTACTTCTAATTAGTTTTTATAATATTTCAAACTTTGGGTTGTCTTTGAGCCTGTATCATTATTGCAGATTTCTATTGTTAATTGTGGTAAAGTTGCTGGCTTTAGGCAGCTTTCCTCTATTTCATCATCTGATTTCTCATTGTGTCATTGACATTCCTGTGGCTCATTTTCTTCTGAGTGGTGTTGGGGATCAAGCTTTCCTTATAAAGGCTGGACATGAAGTTGACCTCAAATAAAAGTGGAAGAGATATCCATCCCACTAGATATCAACCTTCAGTGTAGAAACACAAGAATTATGAAAAAAAAAATGGCAATACAGTTCCTACAAATGCCTTTAAGTAATTAGTAACAGTGCAAACATATTAAAGCAGATGAAATGTTAAGCAACTAATTCAAAAATTAATTTATAAAATGATTACTGACTTCAAAGACCATACAAATAAAGCCAACTGAAGTAAGGAAGTTAATGCAGATTGTGAAGGGGCATTCAGCAAGGGCATAGAGGGAAGAAGGGAGGGAAGGAGGGAGGGAGGGAGGGAGGGAGGGAGGGAGAGAGAGAGAGAGAGAGAGAGAGAGAGAGAGAGAGAGAGAGAGAGAGAGAGAGAGAGAGAGAGAGAGAGAGAGAGAGAGATTCTAACCAAACAGAAATCCTAGAAATGTGAAGTACAATAAGTCAAACAAGAAACTCAATGGAAAACCTCACCAGTAGACAGAATGAGTGTCTGTAAACAGATTTTCAGGGTCTGAAGATAAGCTTTAGGAAGTATTACATGCAGACATTAAGAGAGGAACTCCTCTCCCAGAAATTATGAGCAAGACATCGAAAAACACTGAGGCACAACTAAAAGACTAAACTTAAGAATTTTTGGTGTAAAAGAGGGTGTCAAAGATCAGAGTAATGGTAATAATGGAAAACTTCAAACTTTTGGGAGACATAAGTATCTAAATGCAAGAATTATTCAGAACTTCAAAAAGCATGACCACCAAAGAACCTACTCATGTCACTTTATAGTAAAAATGGCATAAACATAGAATAAGGAATGAATGTTGAAAGCAACAAGAGATTGCCAAATTGTAGAGGCAAACCTACTAGAATAATTTTAGATTTCTCTGCAGAAACCCTAAAGATCATGATGGCAGGGGATGATATATTTCAAGCCATGAAGGAAAATAACCACTAACCCAGAATATTATAAATGGCAAAACTATTCTCCAAAATTTAAGGAGAAATAAAGACCTCCTAAGAGAAGCATAAACTGAAGACATTCATAATCCCTAAACCAGTACTGCAGAAAATACTTAAAGAAATGCTACACAGAAGAGGACTAAACAAGTTATTGAACATTAGGAAAGAACACCAAAAAAAAATTAAGTGAGAGAAATATGTGCACATAATTTTTTACAAGAATCATGTATGTAAATGATCTTAATTCTCTCATTACAACACAGACTGTCAGACTGGGTTTTCAAAAGACCCAACTCCTTTATGTTTATGGGAAAGATGTCTTAACAGCAAGCACATACACAGACTGAAAGTGAAAGGATGGAGAAAAAAAATTCTGTGCAAATGGAACTCAAAGCAAGTAGAAGGAGCTATCCACATACTTGACAAAGCTGACTTCAGGACAAAATTAATCAGATGAGGCAAAGAAGGGAATAAATTGGTAAAGTGACTCTATGTTGGTAAACGGAACAATCCACAAAGGATACATAACAATTGTAAATACGTGCCTACGATATCAGATTCTAACTTCATAAAATGAACAGCACTCAATATAAAGTACATGTATATCTCAACATTACAATAGTGAATGGCATCAGTACTCCAGTTTCATAAATAGATGGGTCATTCAAAGAAAACAAGAAGGAAAAGAGTTAAGCTGCACCACAAATTAAATGGATTTAATAGATGTCTACAGAATATTCCATCCAACAGTTACATAATATACGTTCTTTGCAGCTCATGGAGTATTCTCCTCAATAGATTGCATTTTAAGCCATAAAACAAGCCTTAACAAATACAAAATAATTAAAACAATTTCTTGCATCTTTTCAGGTGAATGAAATAGAATGAAGCTAGAAATCAACAGCAAGAGAAACCATAGCAATTACTAAAACACATGGTAACCAAACAACTCAGTTTTGAATGATTAGTGGGGTCTTTGAAGAAATCTAGAAGGCAACTTAAAAATTACTAAAATAAAATCAAAATGGAAATATAAAATTCAGAATCTTTGAGGTACAGCAATGACAATTAGAAGATACTTAATAGCTATTAGTGCCTGTATCAAAATATCAGGGATCTCTAACAAATAGCCTAATGATGTATTTCAAGGTTCTGGAAAAAAAAACAAGAACAAATTGAAACAAAACCCAATAGAAGGAAAGAAATAATAACAATTAGAACTGAAATTAATGAGATCCAGACTAAAAGAATGAAACAAGGAGTTGGTTCTTTGAAAAAATGAACAAGATTGATAAACCCTGCCAAACTTGGCTGAACAAGGAGAAAAGACTCAAATCAATTCAATTAGAGAAAAAAATGGAGATGCTAGAATAGATACCACTGCAATCCAGAGGGTTATTGGAGACTATTTTGAAAATCCGTATTCTAATACACTGGAGAATCTAGAAGAAATTGTTATATTTCTCTGCATATATGGCCAACCAAAACTGAATCAAAAAATGTAAAAAATTTAAACAGATCAGTGACAAGCAATGAGCAGGGAGATAGCTCAGTGTAGTAAGCACCTGCCTGGCAAGCAGAAAATGTGGTGTATACACAGTGAAGTACTATTCAACCAGAAAAAGAATGACATTTTGTCCTGTAAAGAAAAAAAAAGGAGGGATGGGGAGATCATCATGTTATGTGACAGAAGCCAGACTCGGATAAACGTCGCATGTCCTGCCTCACCTGTGAAATCTAAAAAAGATGACACGATAGAAAGAGGCTGTTGCTAGACACGAGAAAGGGAAAAAGAGGAAAAGAAGGAAGTGTCAGGGCATGAATATGATCAAAACACATGATACACATTGAAACTAAGGGTGAGGGTGAGGTGAGTGGGTGTGGGGGAGGAGAATTAGAGTATGCTGTGTGTGTGTGTGTGTGTACAAATCTGCCCCCATGAAACTCATTAATCTGTATAATCAATACTCACTAATTTGGAAAAGGTGAGGAAAAGCATTGAACAGACTTACCTCAGTGTTTCTGACTACCCTTAGGGGCAGCTTAGTAGCCCATGTGATACAAAAATACACAGTTAAGGTTCCTGCAGCACCACACCTAGTCTTTTAATCCCAGAAGCATTTGTTCAGCATACAAGATCAATATAAACTAATTCAGAGTCTCTTATGAAATGTCAGAAAACTGCAAAACCCACCTAATGTTTAGCAGCCTTGTCATGTCTCCAAAGTAATCATGGAATTGCCTTGAATTCAGTGATTTTAATGTTTAGATTTAAAGGCTGTACCTATCAGCGGATTTACTGATAACAATGAAAATAGAACTCATTATATGTTGATCAGATGAAAACTGTACCATTAACACTATTTTACATATATTTAAAATACAGATCTGGGCACATGAACAAAGGAAATATGTCTATTTCATGACATGTAAGTTTTGAAGTCTGAAAACACTGCTCTGAGGGCCTTTAACCACAGCACATCAAGGATCACTTGCCTAATGCCACACTTGTGTACATGACTGGTAACCCTGCAAAACTGCATGCTCGTTCAGAGTCAGAATGGCATGTTACCTATTTTTAATCCATTTCTAGACAGATTTCTTTTTGATACTGAAGGCAGTTCCTTACTGGTTGTAAGCTAGTGCATATGAACGGGTCTGCTCAACCAACTGAAAATTTAAAAACCTTGTTCTGTTTTCACGTATTAATTTACTTTATCAGTATTCTTCATATACCATGGAATTCAGTCATTTAAAATATACAATTTATTCATTATTGCTATAGTCACTGAGTTGTATAACTTACAACCATAAATTTTTTAAGCCTTCACTCCTTAGCAATCCTCTCAGTCCCTAAATCTCCCAACCTTAAGCGAACACTAGTCTATCTAAAATTACTTCTTGACTTTATTGTCTCCGAGGATGTATGTATTTGAAATATTTCATATAGGCAGGATCATATAATATGTTAAAACTTACCTTTCAGATAGAACAGAAAACACAGATTTAAACATATAAATCCTCTTTTCTACTTTTGTCACTCTCACTTGCTATGCTGTATCATTTCACCAATAATTAATTTCTACCCGTTCTGTCAAAAGCATATCTTAAAAAAACAATGAAATCTGGATCATGTTTTATTATTTTAACATTGCTCCTCTAATCTTAAACATCATAAAAAGAAAAATGGCTGGTCTATTTCTCTTGTAATTTATGGTCATATAAAAGTGCAAGCTGATACTTAGGGTCTTCAGGTCCAGCATTCCCTTCAGCTCCTTCACGGTGGCATCGATACTCGTGAGCTCATTATGGTGCAGCAGGAGGACATTCAGGGATGGCAAGCAGTGCAGCCCTGGGGAGGAGAGCTTACATGTTTCGTTTTTTGTTTTGTTTTTTGATTTAGGACAGATTCTACAGGGTCTACAGAGTTTCGCTACATAGATTGGACTCACAGTGAGTCTCCAGTTTACAGCCTCCCAAGTGCTGGGATTATAGGTACACACCACCACACCCAGTCCCAATCACCATCTCAGCATGCCTCGGGGGCGGGGCCAGTGTAGCAGACCCAGGGATTGAACCCCTGGCCACTGCGTTTGCCTAAACAGGCGCTTTAATCTGTTGAGCTATTTGGCAGGCTCTTAAAGAATGTACATGTTAAGAAGGTTTTTAGTTCATCATTTACTTTTAACTTTGTCAAATGAAAACAAACATTTTTAATGCTAATTTAATGGCTAAACAAAAGAAGGGACTATATTATGGTTGGGAAGAGGAGAAGAATCTATTAATGATATCATGGATTATTACAAAACATAAAGCGTAAGAGTTGAGCAATTGATTGGAATGTGGGAACATAAAAATTTCTTTCTTTCTTTTCTTTCTTTCTTTCTTTCTTTCTTTCTTTCTTTCTTTCTTTCTTT